AAGAGGTTTTTTCCAGATAAGCTGTCTCCAGAGTCCTGCAAGCAGATTGTCTAGGGTTTGTATCTGAGTCTCCTTGTGGTTGAAATAGATGCATGCCACTCCAAGGTCCATGTTCTTTGACTGGGCAGTCAGATGGTCCACTACAAGAGAGCTAAGGTTTCTTGGATCAGCATAAATCAATCAGCAGGATTGAGACCCACGCAAGAATGGTTTTCCCAGCACCAGCTGAATATTTCACTAGTCAGGCTGAGATACTGATCACAAGGTTCAGCTACATACGTATTCCAGAGCACCATAGAATTCCCCCAGGGTTTGATTTCCAGTCCTTGAATTTAGGGTCATCAAGCAGCCATTGTCCAGTTCCTTGCTGGCGGGTCTTGGAAATATCCTGTTGTCGAACAAAGAAATTGAGTGGGGACAACCATTCAATTATTGCATCCCGTTTTGCAGCTATTGAGTGTTCAATCTCTGAATCAATACACAGCCTGAGCCTTTACCTTCCATCTCATTCCTTTGAGCAAGAAGATCAGGACCATACTCTTGAAAGAAAGACACAAATGTACCAGATTTCTGTTTCTTTCTGGCCCCCTATCATGAAGAATGTTCAGTTATAAATAGATAGCATGAGGAAGGGAGAGGCTTTACCAGTATACAGATTTCCAACTCTCTTGATATGCAGAGTGGGCCCCTGTCCTATACCCCCGGGACCACCTGTACCTTGTCCATGGCCCTCTCCACCTGGGCCACCAGACCCTCCTGGCAAAAATCAATGATGGTGTCAATGTCTGACCAATACCAACACACCATGGACACATATTGTCCCGGGATCGTGAGACATTATTGCTAATATGAATTGTTCACTCCTGAGGGCGTGTATCTGGACAACACCATGTCAGACATCAGCAAAGGTGATGCAAAGAGCAGATCTAACAGGCAAAGAAACAGTGAGAAGGCTAGAGGGCTAGAGAGGATATGGAAGCAGAACACAAGGGACACTGCTACCGCGTGATGGGAGAAGATCTCAGAAACACACCGGAACTTGAAGGACAGCACGCACGTTCGCACGATGATTTGCCGGGATGATCGGATAAAGACTCACCTCGTTCTCGGCAAAGGTTAACTCTAGCCTCGGTTTAGCAGTATATTGGTGGATTTAAATCTCCACGGAATAAAGAAAGCAAAGGATCATCACATGTTGGACACTGCCAGTCTCACCGACCTTGCAGACCTCTTGCCAGCGAAGTGCAGACTCGAGACGTATCACTTCCTGTCAATCATTTACTTCCAGGACTCGTGGCATCACTGTGGTAATGACCTGCCAACTCTTCCTTGTTCACACTGGCGTCCTTTTCCCCAGCAGCGTGTGAGTCAGCATGCGCGAGGCGCAGGCGTACCTCTGATGTGCACGGACGGTTCGGTAGACGATTGCCCACTATATATCTTTGAAGCTGGATCCATCGATTTGCGGCCGAAGACCCCACTTATATTAATTAATAATTTGACATGAAGTTGACGTCGGGCCCGGATCGAATCCGCCTGGAGATGCTGTGTAGGATGCCCAACTAGTTTTTTTAAAACGTCCCTCCTAGATTCGTCACCACTCTGCCTACGGCCAGTTTCATTCTCGCTAGCTCAAGTCTACCGAAGGTGATGAGCTCGATACCTTCCCCTCAGACGACGAACTTTGCACCATTTTCCCTGGCTGTCGAGAGAACACTGAACACGAGGCGAACACAAGGCAAACACGAGGCGAACTCGAAGTCTTGAACTCATCACATTATGAGGGTTCCCCCGGTCGGATCATCCCGCGCTTTTCTCGAACGCTGTCGCTGCAACCGTCGGCGCTGAGCGTGCACGCCCTCCCAGGCTGACATAAGCACAAGATCCCGACTGCGACTGGGAGCGTGTCGCGCGCTGCGGACGGCGCCATCGCCGTCCCGGCACAGTCGATTGCCTTGCGTTCGCGCCACGATGACACTGCCACCGGCTCCGTACTCTTCGCGGCGCTTCGGCTCGCTGCACACGCGAGCGCGGGGTGCACCGTCGAGCGACGAGCACAGACTTACACCGACGTTCATGCAAGGTTTCGTTTGCTTGCGCTGCTCACACCCGCGCCGTCCCCGAGCGTGACCGTATGCGCGTGTGTAGCGTGCGCTGCTCGACCGGCCTGTGCCTCGCTCTCGCGAGCTGCTTCGAACCCGGCGTCGTCTCGTCCTCGCGCTTCTTCACGAGGTGCGGCTACGTGCGGCGCGTGTCTATTCAAAAGCCACATCTGCGTCTACATCCGCTGTCGTGTCGCGCCCCGCCTGCACGTCCAGCGCCTGCGGGCGTGCCTGCGCTTCGCTTCTCCTCTGCGCAGAGGCCGTGCGTGTATGCGCCCAGGATCCATTTAAACGGATTGCGCACGCGCGCGAGGGTGTCCTTGCGCTGCGCCGTTCCGCCTTGAGCTTGCGCGCCGTCCGCTACTTCGCTCCCCAATGGATTCCTATTCGCATCCCATCTCCTTACTTACTTATCTATGCATCTATTCTACTGTTATCGTCATAAACTTTGTATTCGTTGATAATCGAACGTAAGGGTAGCGCGAAGGAAAAGTGAAGCGAAAAAGGCGGAAAAAAGTAAAACGCCCAAGGATAAGGTGGTACCACGTCTGCCGCAACGTGCTCCACCAACCGAGTAACGCAACCACGCCCGTCGACCTGCGCGCATAGGGAAATCCGCTCGCCCCGCACAAAAAACCACCGAGGTAACCCCACAAAAGAAAAAAAAAAACAGCGAGGGGCGAGGACCTGCCAGTGCGAGGCTCGAGTGACACGAAGCAATAGCCCAGATGCCCAGATGAGTATACGCATAAGCATAACGGCCGCAGGGTAAGCATACATTGAGCGCTATCGCAGTGCCCACTCAGAGGCCAAGGTAGACGCGGTCCCGGGCGAACACGCCTGGCGGCCGACGCAGCGACCCTGCGCGGAAACTAAGCCCGAGGCGGACCCGGGTGAGGGAGTATCGCGGCGCCGAGGTCGCCCCCTGCCCAAATCGTGCATGTTGGCGTCGGCGCGGCCACTATCGCGGAGGCCGAACGGGGCCACCCTCTACCGAAAGCGGCTCACTCTCGCGCCAACCCAACTTCCAACTTCCGACCTCCGACTTCCGACGCGGTCGGGGCTCAGGGCACTCGGGGACTCGGAGCAGATGCGGGCCCAACTTAGACGCCATGAGCGGGTCCGAGTGCGGTTACCATCGCGGAGTGCGGAGACCTAGCCCCAGTCCGAGGGCGCGCACGCCTGAAAGGGGCAATCTAGGCTAGACGCAACCCACGGACAATCGAGCCAAAAAAAAAAAAAAAAAAGAGGGTGGGACGAAAGAAAAAAGAAAAAGAGAGATGTTAAGCCAAAACGAGGCGAATACGAATGCGAAAAAAGAGAAAACAACGCAGAAACGAAATCCAAAACCAAAATAAAAAAAGACACCCAGTGAGGAGAGTGGCACACGACCGCGCCCAAAAATGGCACACGACCGCACGGAGGTAGATCGGTCGCTGTGCGGCGGGGGCATACGTGTCGAGTCGATCGCGCCATAGCACGATCACCCCATTGCCAGCAGTCAGAGACAGGGGCAGTGTCTTATCGCCACCCGACTCGGGAGATGACAGACGAGGGAGAAGGGAAGGGAGGCGAAACACGGGGCTGTCTCGCAGAGAGAGGAAAGGAGGAGAAACAGCCGGAAGGAAGGAGGAAAGGAGGAATAACAGCAAGGGATGGATGGGGACGCACATAAGAATCGCAACAGTCGCGACGTCAATGAGATACAACGTGAGCGCAAAGTTAACGCCGAGGATGTACCACAGCGTGCCGTTCGTGCCCGTCTGCAATAGCAATACCACAAAAAATTAGCCATAGGATAAGGATGAGGATGAGGGAGGGAGTACGCACCCGCTCACTCTCGCGCATAAGGAACCCCAGCAGCCGCTCATACACCCGCTCAACAGCAGGCACACGCAGCCTTACCACGTCCGTCGGCGCGATTACGGCCAGCGCGGACCACAGCACGAGCGTCACCGCGCGCGCGGACATGCTCGGCGTCAGATACAGTCCCAGCGTTATGAACCCTGCCTATAAAATCCCAAAATCAGCACTTTGTTCTTCTCTCGAGTGATAGAAAAAAAAAGTGGATACCACCACACGCACCGATAGACGAATGAAACCTTTCTCGGTCTCTCCCAGTCAATCTTCCCCTCCGTCTCCGGTGCATCCATCGTCGCGCGCTGTTTCCCGTGTCGCCGGTCAGCCCTCAGCGCCTCAGCCACCTCGCTCTCCTCCGGGTCGTCGTCCGTGTCCGTCTCGACGACGGCGTGCCCTAGCCCCTCGAGCGTGCGTATCACTTTCCTCGTGACGCCCTTGACACCGGCGGCGGGGGATGGGCTGGCAGAGGAGCGGCGGCGGGGTACGGGTGGAGGGGATTGACTGCTTGTCGAGCCGGGCATCTAGTAGTGTTACTAGTTGCAGGGGATTTGCGCAAAGGCTAAGAAGAGGAGGAGCGTCACACCTGTCACATAGACGTGACTCATTTGAAATGGATTCCTCTTCTCTTCAACCATGTCGGGTATTCGACTGAGTTAGGGTGTTAGAGACCGCCGGGTGGCACAGCGTAGTGCAATTCTTTCACTCTTTGCTAAACTATTTTAGTTTAAAGAAGGTGCGTCTGCTGAACTTCGAGTCCTCACAACCCACGATTATGCAGAAGATCCCCGTTCGATTCGGGGTCGGGCGATAACGCACTGATGGTTGCGTTTTTTTTTTCGCTCTTCGACTGCTTCTACTAGGAATGCCTCAAGTTTCCCATTTTCGACCTTTTCACGCCATTTATTTTACTCACTCCCAAGTCCAATTTCTGGACAAGCAGTTCAACACGTTGGCCGTGAGTCGAGTCGTGTGACTCGAAATGGATTCCTCTTCTCTTTAACGATGCTATGTATTCGACCCAGTTAAGGTGTTGAATACCGCCCGGTGGCACAGAGTTGTGCGTCTGCTGAATTTGAAGTCTTGGAATGATTGGATTATGCAGAAGACCCCCGTTCGATTCGGGGTCGGGCGATAATACCAGTGGTTTCACTTTTCTGACCTTTTTCCCTCTGCCATTTATTTTACTTATTTTACTCGCTTTCGATTCCAATTTCTGGATAATCAAATGAACAGGCTCACAATGTTCTTGGCTCAGTGGATTCCACTAAATGATCTCGAGCTGGCTGATTTAAACTCACACCTAACTCACACCAGTCTAGGTTTGCCCTAATAAATCCAAGTACACAGCTAGGTATAATATCACCCGGTCGCACATGGCGTGTATCTGCCAATCTATTGAAATGTGGGGCTAGCGTTCTGCAGAAGACCTCCGTTCGATTCGGGGCCGGGTCATGAGTCATTGCAAGGGCTTTTTTTTTTGGTTATCCCAATTTCTTGCATAAATCTTTCCTATTCAACGGCAGCCGCTCGCTGCTAAACAGCACAACTGTCTTCCGCAGATAGCTCTCGTAAGTGCCATTTCTCCACAACGTTTCTGTGGCCGATATTGCTATTAATTTCAACCACGAATTTCAACCACCGCCAGCTCAGCTTCGCACGTATAAATCCAAGTACACAGCGAGGGATAGTACCACCCGGTCGCACATGGCGTGCATCTGCTTACAATACTGTCATCGAAGCAGATTTAAAAGCAGAAGACCCCCGTTCGATTCGGGGCCTGGTGATTGCTTGGTTCGGATGGATTTTTAGCAACCGTTTCTCGCACATAAAACAGGCATGAACCAAGAGCGACTCGCTGTGAATGTCATTCCCCACAACATGTCTCAGGCTGATTTCAAGCACCACCAGTCCAAGTTTGCTGGCATAAATCCAGGGAAACAACCATGTACTTATAATATGACCCGGTTGCACATGGTGTGCATCTGCCCAATCTTCGAGTTTCCGGCCTTGCGAGCAGAAGAGCCCGTTCGATTCGGAGCTGGGCGATGAATACGCGTAGAGGTGTCTTCTTTCACACCTCGACAGCTGACTGAAGTTTCTGTACTTGCTATTATCTGCGACTGCTTAGTGGGCCACCATCGCCTTTTTGACCTCGAGCCCAAACGTAAAATGCGGTAAATACGGTTATATGGGGTCTAGCACGAAGGTATTCATCCTGTGAGTGAGTTGACATAGTTTCCGCGAATTTACACGATGGTCTCTCGACCTACGGAATTTTTTGTTCCGGCGGTTTCCTAAAACAGCAAAAACAGCTTAGTGGGCCACCTCCTCGCATCGTTCATTTGGACTGATATCGGCTGTCACAATGTATCCCAAATCATTAAGGACATCCAATTTCAATATTCTATACAATAGCAGAGCACTTCCAAGGTATATGAGCACCTTAAATATTTCCCTTTGAGCCAAGGAAAAGGGGTGAAATCGCTGTGCGCACAGAATGGCACACTCTGCAAAGCACAGAGTGCA